TGTCTATTGTCACAGCAGGACACGAGATCTTTCTCAGGCAGAAGCTAACGTGCGCCGACTTGCTGGTATTGATTTTAATTCTCCATTTGTGAAACTCCATTTTTCAAGGTCGTGGAGGTGGTTTTGAAGAGCTATTGAAGCGATAGTGGGATTTTTGTGAAAAGAGAGAATTGCTGAATCGTCAGCAAAACTATAGAGAATGGTGCTAGGGTGCTCAGGGATATCAGATGTGTAGGGAGAAAAGAGAAGAGGGCTTAAAAACACTCCTTGTGGTTTGCCCGAAAGTTGAGGAAAGAAGGTAGAAGTAGAGGAATTAATACAGAAGTACCTGTCAAGAAAGAACTATTGAAGTATTAGAAAGTAAGTCAAAGGAAGGGGTGGTTTTATTTTCCACAGTAAACCTCTGTGCCAGACGATATCAAACGCTTTCTCGGTATCCAGGAATATCGCTGAGCAGAATTGTTTTTCCTCGAAGGCGACTGAGGCAGGGCCTCATATACGATGACAGTGTTGTACAGTGGAGTGGTAATATCAAAAGCCAAATTGATGATTAGCTCAGTTAATTAAATTAATTTTAAAAAATGCAAGTAGAGTTTTCAGAGATTTTTTTGCCAAATGTAATTGATGAACACGGACCAATGTGTGTTGATATGTCTTATCCCCCAAAAAGGGATGACATTAAAGTTTTGGGGTGTTTAAATTTATTTGGGATGCCAGTGGATGATAATTATCCAAAATTTTTTAACAAAATTTAATTAATAAAAATTAGTAAAATAATTCTGGACCTAATAATAAATTGATTGATCCAGAATTAATTAATTGGATTTCTGTTCTCAAAGTCTAGTTTGTATTTATCATATTTTCTAATTACTTACATTACCTGTGATCATCAATACATGAATGGGTGGCAGCATTAAAATAACTTTACTGAAAAGCTTAATTATTTCTATGTTGAATAAAAAATATATACAAATTATATTTAAAAGAAACTAAATGATTCAATGAATTTAATAATTAACTATGAAGGTATGATTTCAGATGGACTCGTTTGATAATTATATTGTCATGAAATATTCTAACATTGGTAAATTTATTGTTGGGGATAACACTTTCATATCTATTGTATATGAAGTGGTGTGGTTGGTATATTCCATCTGTGCATCTGCTGATCCGTGGTCATCTCGTCATGGTTCAAAGCTCTGCCAGCATCATCATGGTCTATCCCCAAGCCGGAAGAAAACAAGAGACCCATCCTCAAGGCGGGAACTCAACATAAGACCTATTTTCTTCCATCTCGGTAGATTTTATGCCAAATATTCAGAGTGGGGCAAGGATGGTTTCCATTGGTTCTTAACTTCACCCTATTATTTCAATGTAACACCCTAAAAGGAACCAGTTACTTAGCCCGTTACTAGTTTTTACACTAAGCCTTCCTGCGGTCCAGGTACAAGGTCGGTCCTTGGTGGTACCTGATGTGCCCCTTAACGCTGGTGTTGATGTCAGAAGTCGGTTTCGTTCACCTTGCCATAATAATTTTAAAAACCCACTATAGGATATCTTTTAGAAAAACTTCAATACGTATCATTGTTTTATTACAAATTCCGTATATAAATATCTAGACAAATGTTATACGCATCTAAGATAGCGGCAGATATATTTCTATAGAATATAGTGAACACACTATACTCGTTGGCTGGATGCGAGAGCATTGAGGCCCAATGTAAGCGCCTCAGGTGGAGCCGATATCAGCACTTCACGGCCCACTGCTCTGTTTATCCCGAGTAGGCCTTCCTAACTACTTAGTGTATTCCCTTTCTGGCTGTCTACTTAATAAGTCACTCTCTCTAACAACTGATAAGTTTTCAAATAATATTAACATACAAAGTGAATTAAATTAGCACATATAATAATTAAATTTCTTTTTTTTCTTTATTACTATTACTATTACTTTATTACTTTATTACTATTACTATTATTTTCTTTTTACTAAGAAGGACGGAAACAAACTTTAATTTTATATAATTTAAATTTATATGGTTTTTTCTAGGTCCCATTGCAGCTAAGGTGGTCACTATTTATCAGATAAGACACTGCATATTGATATGTAAACACTGCAGAAATGTAAACATCGAAGAAAAATATCGGTATATAAAATATCGATATATTTCAAACATTTCGATATATCAATAAAAATCCTCTATAATTCGGCCCGCAATGTGATAGAATTGAATTCCAGATGCGTAATATTAATAAATATCACCTTACCCCAAATCAATAGCAACAATTAAATATTCATATATTTCTTATTTATAAAAAATGGAAGAGATCAATTAAATTGTTTATGTATGTATGTAGTGGAAGAAAAAACAAAATTTAAATAATTACTAATTTATTTTATTTTTTGGTGAAATATCTATTCTCGATTAACTAGTAAATCTAGTCAGGATGTGCTTGACGGAGACACTAAATAAAGTTAGAATCGGTAATAATTTGTCCGAAAAATTTGAGGTTCGTTCGGGCTTAAAACAGGGGGATTCTCTTTCGCCTGTCCTGTTCAATTTGGCATTAGGACATGCCATTAGGGAGGTAATGCGAACCGAGAAAGGGTTGGATCTGGGCGGGACAACATCCGTGCTGGGCTATGCTGATGATCTGGTACTGTTAAGCGAAGACGTTGAAACTATAAAACTAAATACGACAAAGTTAATGAAAGCCGGTAAAGAACTAGGACTCGAAATAAACGTGGATAAAACAAAATATATGATTAGCTGCAAAAATGGCGATACTACTGGTGATATCGATATAGATGGTAATATGTTTGAACAGGTAGATAAATTTAGGTATCTAGGTTCTACGATAACTAGAAAAAACGAAATTGAAGAAGAGATTAAGGTTAGACTGAAGGCGGGAAATGCTTGTTATTTTTCAGTGACAAAACTACTTAGTTCGCGCCTCTTGTCCCGAAACTTAAAAATTAGAATCTATAAAACAATTATCTTGCCTACAGTTCTTTATGGATGCGAAACTTGGCCGCTTACATTAAGGGATGAGCAGCGTCTTAAGGTTTTTGAAAATAAAGTATTGCGTAGAATATTCGGACCGAAGAAGAATGAGTTAACCGGAGAGTTCAGACGGTTACACAACGCCGAATTGCGTGAGCTGTATCCGGGTAATATAATTGAGGTAATTTCATTGCGGCGAATCAAATGGGCTTGTAAAGTTGTTGGGCTTAGTAACGAGAGAATTCCTAAAAGGGTAATATTTGCTGTGCCGAATGGTAAGCGTCCGAGGGGTAGACCGAAGCGAAGGTGGAAGATTGCATTAAAGCCGATCTGAAGGGACTGGGTTTGGACGGCGAACGGTGGAGGGAGATGTGTAACAAGCGATTGGTGGTGTCGGCATCGAACCTTCGGGTTCGCTAAGCCTTATTATTATTATTATCTATTCTCGATAATTAAATTAAAATATCCATATTGTGGTTCATCGCGATATGAAATTATAATACATTTTTTATTTATTTAGTTATATTGAGATACCATGTGCGACTGCATAGGTTAGAGGCACCTTTTTCAATTTCATATTAACTTCAATTACATATTCAATAGAAAAATGTATGCAAAAGATTGGATGTTTTCAGGTGAGGTTGTGTTGTATATATAATTCCATATAATTTTCTTGTCATATCATTTAGGTTCATTGCCATTTTTTTAAAACTTTTTTTTTTTTTATGAAGTATGAGCCCATAGGCCACCAAATAACTGAATTAAAATTAGTTTACAGGATCTTGAAAATGGCTCTTAAAACCGAAACGTCGAATAAATAATACGTGATGTGAAAACTTTGTACATCTGATGACCTTTGGCCTAATATTTTATTGAAAACTATAATTATAAAACTTTAATAAACATAAAAATATCGATATTTTTCCAACTTCGCTAATAATAGATGCATTTAGTCTTTTAAACCACAATTTCATCATATATAACTATATTTTTTAATTTCAAATCTTTATTCCAATTTACTTTTACAAAGAAAAAATCGTATAAATGTGTATACTAGCCAGCTCAAAATTTTACTCTATCTAAAGTGGTCATATTGTCTCCAGATATCTGGTTAATATTTCAGTGGAAGTATTCCGATTTAGATTTTTTATAAGCGAATATCTTTCAAATGAGTATCTGAAACGTTAAAAGAAATTTAAAGTTTCCAAGTTATCCAAACTAAACCAAGGTTTTCAATTTTCCATCGGAACAGGTGCAGAACGTACAAATCTACTAAATGTACAAAATCTAATAAGCTGTATATTTGCTAATACGGGTCCTATTTCGATCACTTTTTTATTTATAGGAATATAATTATCTTTTAAGTCGTTGTATAGACAACTTATCATTAAAAAAAGAAAAAAAAAAAAAAAAAGAAACGCACCTATCGCATTATGTCCAAATAAAATTTACAATAAAGTTTGTTTCGATTATTTAAAAAAAAAATATATATATATAATACTATGTGTTTTAATATTTCAAACTTTTGTTACAATCCTTATTCCCTTAACACAAATGTGACTAGCTGGAACATTAAATAAACGCCTATAAAGTATTCCAAGAGGGTAAAATACTGACTTTGATCGATGATATCTTATCCGGGGAAGTTGGAAGACCGGTAAGTCGGAATCCAATCAAAGAGGGACACCGCTCAGTCAGTTTATCCAAATTCTATTCCACCAAACTTTCTCCACTCCAATTGGACCCTGGGAAGGGCGCCTTGCCAGCGTTCCCTCGCATTTACTTCTAGTCCGCTGGTTTTGTTCAAATATATTTTAAATAATTGTGGTTCCTTATGGTGGGAAGTGAATCATTGATTTGTGTTACAAATTGGATGGTTCATTTATCTATGCTAAGAATAGGTTTGGTTGTATCTCTAAAATAACCTTTCCGTGCGCCAGAAATGGCGAGAAAGGAGATTATAAAAAAAAAAAAAAAAAAAAAATATAGCTGACATACCTTGAAGTTGATGGAGTTGATCGTGAGGATGACCCTTGCGTACAGACGACGATCCGTAACGAAGGTGTACTTGCAGGTTAGGTACTGGCCCGAGCTGGACCTCTTGTAGACGAGAGTATTCAGCGGCGACCGGAGGTACCCGGAGACCGTGTTCCAAGAGGAGAACTCTTCGTCGCAGGCGGTCCCTTCCACGGCTGTCCCGAAGTGGGTGTTGTTGAAGAAGTCGTAATGGGCCCAATAGTAGAGGGAGGACCTGTATATATATAACATGGGGTCAATCCGTACCAAGTAATCATGAAATTCGTAGTATAAGATATTTATTTTTTCTATTTACCATTCACTAAAACTTTGAAAAATTTTATTTTGTTATCTTATTTTTACTTTTTTTTGGCCATCCTAGGTTGAGTCAACTCAACGTTCAAAGGCGATAAGAGATAGTTAGAGATGAAGCAGAAGATATGGATCTTAAATACGTGTCTAGAAATTGTAATTTTCTGAAATATATGAGAATAATGTTTTTGCATCATCGTAAACTGTAGCGTCAGTGACATAGTTTAAGTAAATAATTCTTAAATAATCTTTATTACTTTTTATCGTATCACAATGAGTTTTGCTCAGAAATTTTCATAAAGACCTATACAATTAGGTGTTGAAGCTAATTGTAGCCTTTTTGAAATTATTAGGATGTAAATTTCCTTAAATCAACGAGTTATTACTGCAACAGAAGACCCATTTCTACCCAAAGACAACGTCATATGGTCCTTTTCCAAGGAATTTCATTGCTCTCCTCTTCTTTAAAATGGTACAAGTAAAAGTGGAATTATAAAAATTGTAGTTTATTTGAAATTAAACTAACTCTGATATTCTTTATGCTTTTTCTGTTTTAAAAGCTAATCAACATTGAAACACCACAAAAATATGGTTTCAATAATCCATAATCCCATAAAAATGCCTTTCCCTCATAAATTTTGTTGGTGCAACTTGCGCCAGGCTACCATGCTATGATTTTTTTGTTAAAATGATCACTACACGAAAAGGGTTGGAACTAGGCATCGTTTGGACTCTGTTTAATTTTCTTGGTAACTGATCACTGTTAAAGAATCCTATCCTAATCCTATAACTTATAACAGAAACGTAAAAAACTATTACTGTTTTTACCCTGAATAGCTGCCAGTCTTGCTCTCAAATCTGACGAAGAGAGCACTATCAGTGCTGACGAAGTCGTGCTTCTCCATCGGCCTTGAGAAAGTGTCGCAGAAGGTCTTGATGATCTTGGAGTCATCCGGCCATGAAGCGTCGTAAAGGGTGAGGCTCTCCCCGCAGTCTCCATCGAACATAGCGATTGGAGACTCGATTCTGTTTATTCGAAAACTAGAAAAAAAAAAGGTTTTTACGAACATTAGCAGGGATAATCTTAATTGTATAAAATTAATTAGAAACTCCAGACCATAAGTATAATTCCTAATTTTCCCAAAGAATTTTTCCAGTAGTAAACCTTTGAACATATGAATATACCAAAAGAAAAAAAAAAATCATTTGGTTGATTTATTATTATTTTTTTAACTTGTCTATAATATATTGTAAAGATATTTTTAATTTTAACATAATTATTTATTAAAATACGTTGGACCCAAAGGGAAGGGAAGGAGTAGAAAATAACTATGATTGTCCTAATTATCACGAAAGGAATCGATACAAACTGTAGCAGTCAGCGAAGTATATCCCCATCAAGAAGAAGTTGGTTAATTTAAGATAATAGAAAATACGAGAATATTATAAGGTTTGATCAAAAAGGAACAGTACGGCTTTAAAAAAAATGAAGATCTTACGTTTACAATGTGACAGGTATTTCAAAAAGAAATAAAGAAACAGAAGGTATCATCGGTATATTTTATCGACCTACCTAATAGGCTCAAACTTTTCATTTTGGTTGGGGGAGGAGAGCGATAAACCTCTCCCCCAGAAGAAGTCTCGAGATTATATTATATATAAAAATTATGATTATAATTAACATATTAACATAATAAGCAGAATTATTGTAAAACGGACAATATATTACAATATATGAAAGTAAATTTATATACATGTTTATATATTAGTGTTATATAGCTAATCCAAACATATGCTTGCATCTTAATTTTTTTTTATTATTATTTTTTCTCACTACTCATCATTTTAAATGTTTGTCTATTTTTTTGTTATAGTCACAGAATAATTTTCTCTGAAATATAAAATATTTAAATATTAGGTATTTTGCGATGTTTATCACATTTGTATGCGCTATAGCCCGGCAGTAACACTCAGTCTTAATGATCAAGACGACCAAAATATTGCGATAAGGCTGCCGGTCTGGAGCGAGCTTTCGTAGATATTGGGTCCACGTAATGGAAATCTTCCCCCACCTTTCCACGTACTGGAAATCTTCCCCACCTTTTAAGAGCGAATATTGTTAGACATCGGATCTATGTATACTGGGCATCCGATCTTTCCCCAACATCTCATCAACTGCTCCAGGCTGAACCTCACCTAGCGCCATTTTCTCAACACAACTGTTCGGCACATTGGCTGTCATCGATATCGTACCGATAACCCTCGCCATCGACGGCTGAGCACCCAGAGAGGTAACCTCGTTGGAAGTAAGATTGTTTAATTCCCTCTGGGATCGTGTTTTTCTTCTCTCCACCGTCAGAAGAGACATTAAAATTGATTTAATTATTTCCACGCTAAATTAGTTTTCTTTGTTGTTTTCTGGCATTGAATTTTAATTTATTTTTTTCTTATTATTAATCTAAATTATTAGAAGTAGATTTTATTTATGTTTTATTCATAGTAGTTAATTTGTTTTTATTTTCACTGGATATTATATTCAATTTTTATTTTTATTTCAATGAACTTTTGCACCATTGTTTATTTTAACTATATACCTATATATATTGAAAGGTAATTATATATATATATATATATATATATATATATATATATATATATATATATATATATATATATATATAAATCTATATATATATATATATATATATATATATATATATATATATATATATATATATATATATATATATATAATTACCTTTCAATAACGGGAACATAGGGAATGGTAAAATACTTGCTTACCTACTTTTAGGCCTTAGCTAATTCTAGTCGACTTTTCCTATTCCCTTAAATGATTTTAGTATACACATTTTATTCATTCAGATAGACTAATTGTAATTAATTTTGATTTTAGTTTTATTCTACGAAATATTGAAAGGAGGATGAACGATATTCTCATCACCTCTCTGTTTTTATTGGTGGGGCAGGGAAGGGAATTTCTCCCAGAATTCTACGCCTATGACTAAGGCTCTTGACCGATACAGGAATAACATAAACCTGATGAGAAAATGAAATGAAATGAACAACGATATATTTTGTCAGTTGGGAGTAAAAGCAAACCAAAATTTAAGAAATACTTGGTCATAACGTTTAACGCGTTAATTTGAAAACACCAAAGGATTTATGCAGGAATACAATATCTGACTGTTATTATAAATTCTGAATTCCGAGGAAAAGTTTAATATTACAAAGGTTTTCTGACTTAACTAGATCCGATCGTTGGGAAACAATAAGCAAGTTATAACTTTATTTTTACAAATTCTGTAAGAAAACTTGTGATCCAATGGTGAAATAAGAACAATTTTTAAGCAAATTCAAAAGGTTAGGTTGCAAGACTGTCTTCTTCTTTTATTACTCAATCCATTCGATTGCCATCATTCCTTCTTTATATCTATTTTCTTTTTTTGTTTCGACGTTGTACCTAATCAGTAGCACAAAGGCCTCATCAAGAGTGGAAGGCGGATAGAAAGGAAGGCTGATGAAACAAAGCCAACATATTTCCATACATAAAGGAAAAAAATTCCTTTTTTATGTCATTTATAACATTTTCACAAAGGAATCTGAATAATGTATGGCAGGATATTATTTTAAATATATTTAACTTACATTTAGATCATCGAGGGATTCAGAAATATGAAATAAATAAATATTTCATTAAGCGAACAGACTCGAGATCATCTTCTGTATAGATTACATGGAGATAACAACGCTGTTTATCATGGTTGTTATGTTCACTAATTAGAGGATGAAGAGTGGATTTGATTTAGAGAAGCAACCTATTTTGGCTATTGTGGTAATATCGAGAAATACTCCTAATCCACTTCAATTTTAGCTTCAGCTTAGAGCAAACTAGAATCCCCTCCGGTTAGCTTCGTTTACCAACAACTTGAACATAAAGCTGATATATCCTCTTGTTCTAGATAGATGATTTCAAAAATAAAAATTCAGTCGGCTTTCTAACTATTAAAATATATATTTTTTCCTTTATATTTAAACATCATAATTAATTTTTCACTAGATGCAGTAAAACGTAGGTCTTATCGGTGCTTAGCATCTTGGTATATATAAATGTCATTTTTATAACAAAGTTTGATATAAAGGATAAAATAAAAATTATTTTTAAAAAGATTTTTTTATTCATGAAATAAAATTTGTGAGATTAAAGGAAGCATAAATTTAAAAATATTAATCACATATTGATTAAATATAATAATTATGTTAAATTTAATCAATTAACCATTTGCCTCCATTATGTATAAATAAAACCGAAAGAATTTGTATAATTAATAATGCAATCTACTGCCATGTTAAGTATTTACGAAACTTGACTATATTCATAGTTAGAATTTTATCGATATTTATTGATGTATATATTAAGGGAAAAAATGAATTGGATGTTGAGCAGCCCTTTATTCCGTAATTACTTGAAAAAAATGTATACATTTTAAATAGGTAATAACATTTGAAAGAAAAAGATAGTTGTAATAATTGAAAAAAGTAGAGTATGTGCTTTAGACTACACGAATGTGTGGCGATAAGTGAAAACATCAACAAAGCGAGACTAATAATATGGAATATAAATTATAAATAATAGCTCATTATAAAGAGGATGAAATGTTGAACATTTTTCTCGCTTGCAGTATGCAGGTCTGATTTTTAGTTTCTGAGATATTTTAACCCATATCTTCAATAAAACTCGTTATCATTTGGATTTCGTCACTATTTATTCCATTTTTCGCTTCTCTTACACGACGAAGCGTTATGGTACAATTTTGAATAATAGCTCATTACAAAGAGGATGAAATGGTGAACATTTCTTTTAGTTTTTGAGATATTTTAATCAATATGCAAATAAAAAATTAGCCGACTCTTGTCAACTTCACTCGAACGTTACACATCGGAAATCTGATGGATCAATCTAATTCAGTCTCTATAAAAAGTGCAAACGCGTCTAAAGAAGTTTTCACTAAAAAAAAAAAGAAGACATTGGAGTGATAATTTTTAAAGCAGAAGTCTCTTACCTTCATTTCGGCCAGCGAACGTTTCTTTGATTAGAGGGTAAGATTATAAAACTACTTAAAAATATAAATTTAGCAAATTACTCACTCACGATGTTGCTACAAGATTTTATTGCGTGTTTTTTTGTCTCTTAGATTCTTAACTTATCTCTTAGAAAGCTCATTTCACAACTGAAGTGTAATTTATAAAACAACTTGGATGGACTTGGATAGAAGTCTCAATGCGGTCCGCAGTCCAAAACTTCCTTTGGAGTTCCCTGGTTTAAAACGAAACAAAGAAAATATTTAAACCCTAATGGATGGGTTTCAAGAAGAACGGCTCAAATTAAATTGAATCATATGAGATGTACACAATCAATTGTTTTCGACCAAAGATAAATAAGGATCATCAGGATAAAACTGTTTAAACGCCTTTTAAAACATTTTATTTTCCTTGAATAGGATTGCTGTGAAGAAAAAAGAGAATCAGAATATTTTTATGGAGTTTGCAGGCAAATAAAGTATAATATTGGCACTCATAGTTCGACCGAAGGCTTCACCAGAGACGAAGGAACGGCTCAAATATCAAACATAAAACCGAAACACGAAGTTTACGAGGTATAGAACAATAAGAGAGAACTGGAGAAGTTGTAAAGGGGCAGAGCTATTCAGCGGGCAAAGATGCCTCCTCTCCCCGCCTTCTACATTTACTTCTAAGAAAGTCGTTACACAACTCGCTTCGGTAATAACTCCAGCTAGGAAATAAAGCGATTGTTTGAAAATGGAAACAGGTCTCTTCAAGTTCCAATGCTCAGGTCCCAACGGCTCTTAGACAAGTGACATCATCATTATTATTTACAAAGTGGCAGACACCAAAAGTCCCAGAACAGATTGGTATATCTAAAGTTTCAAAATTTTACACCTTTTATTGAACTTTCAACAAAGAGGATGAGATATTAAATCATCTGTTAAATAAATAAACAAATGGTTCAGTCGTTTGTGGCTCTAATGACCTCTTTCAGTCTCTATGACGCGATTGGTAGAAAGGTACTGGGATATCCTGGAGTCCTGCTTTCCCTTCCACATTTGGAGGACAAAGCTTGGCTCGGAGTTTTCTGGACGAATGCAAATATTGTACTTCGGTATGAATTTGTTTAAGAAGATTTACTTTATTTTTACTTGCGGGTCATCCCATGCCAAATCGTCTAGGAGCCGACACTCAATGCCTTCAGATATTAGTAAAATTTGTAAATATTAAGTAAATATAAAAATAAGTAAAAACACCAAATTTTAACCAATTCTAGTATCTTATTCAAACTAATAACTTTAAACCAATTCTAGTATCAGAAATATAGGCTTTAAGCCTTGGAGATATTTGAAGTTGAGAAGTCATTTTGAGGTCCAAAACAACGTGTATCTGTTCGGTTTTTCTATGCAAACCCAATATTTAATGAACAAGAGCTTACAAAATTCATTTATTTGTCATAAATTTATTTTCAAGTCTTAGAGCATTATAATTTTTGTCACGTACAAAAAAATTTTTAAACATAAATTTTCAAAGTTTTGATAAAAATAGCTACTACCAGCAACTAACATCTTTCTCCAAATACTTCAATACAAAAACATATGAATGAAAACAACATACAATTGTTTTATTATTAACTGGTAAATTTAATTTTACTATATTATTGTTCAATTGTAATACAACTGAATTTTAGTGACCATATGAAACATAATTAGATTTTTGTTATTGTCCTGAATGTTTTTTGTTGAAAGATTTGAAGGTTTTTTATGTAAGTGTTTTTAGCTGTACCTAATATCTGTGATGCCTAAGTCCAAAGAGGTTTTTGTAAATAATTGGTTGCATTCAATTTATGTTTAAGTTTTAGTATTGAGTGTTATCCGAGAAGTGAATTTCGAAGTCTTAGTCTATGATTTAGTGTTTTTCTTTTTTTCGTGATGTGTGGACCTCCACCTTATTATTGACATTTGTCCTTTTTCGGTCAAATGTCAATCCAAAATGGTGAACTCAGTTCACTGTTAAAATTAATTCCTGAACCCGCCCGAGTTCTAGACGAAATATAATTTTTGTTCTTTCATTATATTTTTAAGAGACTTTGTTTATTAATAAGGTTTTTTCTATTAGCTATATTAATATAAATATATACATATTTAAATATTCCTCATAGTCCGTGGTGTACATGGAATATAAATTAATAAATAACTGACCTGGGGAAGTAGAGCCTCACGATCTGGTCCTTGAGGCCCTGGATGAGGTAGGTGCAAGAGGTGTGAGGCGGGTACCAGTGGGCCACCGAGAGGAAGATGCCCTCGCTGTCCCCGCTGGCCGCTAGGTCCTCGTAAGTCAGCAGCCAATCGCAGGTCGAGTTCCTGCTCCCGGCGGTCTCCACGTGCCCCGGCCAGTTCCCCACGTTGAAGTGGAACCCGGTGTTGAGCAGAGGGCCTGCAACAGTCAAGACTTTGAGTAAAAAGTGAAACAATAAAGAGTATTTCAGAGTTAAATATCCGAACTGAAAATATGGATTAAGGATCTGAAAACAAGAAAAAAGTTTCCTATGAAAGTGTGTCCGTTAATACTTAGTTTAATTACATGACCTAGTTTTCCTAACTGAAGGATAAAAGTACCAATTGCTGACATCCTCCTTGAATAATAAAATTTCAGGATCTCCTAGACTTCTTATATATTTTTAGTTTATATATGTTTTCCTGGTATATTTCTCTGCTTTGATTTAGTAACCGGAAACTGCAACCGAAATAATGAGTGGTAAATTAGGAATGTCCCTCACTGTCCACTTGCTGTCCAAGGAACAACCATCTGTTAGTAAGAATACCATACCTTAGATTTGCCTTTTTATTCTTAGCTACTCTGAGTCATTCTGAAAATGTTGTTTGATTGCTTTTTGGATTTTTTAAATTACATTTAATCTAATTTAAACTTATCTTGACGAAGGAATTGGATATTTAATGGGTGTCAGCTACTAGAGCCTTATAATGAGGATTTGTGCCAGTAGTTGACAGGCCAGTACTGTCATAACTTCAAAGAGATACACTGAATATAATGGGCATTAAAAATAAAACTCTTCACTACTGTCTTGTTAAAAAAAATGTGAATGGTTCGGATTAAATTTAAAGCAAAAATAGGTTTTTCTATAGCCAAAAACCTATTTTTTCTCTTGAGAGTGACCAGCATTTATTGATAAATTTAATTCAGGAAACCCAAAAAGTTAGTTTTATAATACACTATAGGTAATTTTGGTTATTCTTAAAATGGAGAACATGAAATTTCACTTAGTTATGTCATTGTTCTCATCCCTGTCAGCTATAGAAACATTCCAAATCTAACAGTGTCAGCTACTGGTACAACAAAACTATTCTCTTATTTTTTTAAATTTATATGAGTATTTCATGAATTTGAAATATGTCTTGATAAGGTGAGAAATAGTTCTATAAGTTGAATCCATGAAAAATATAATATCATCAATATTTAAGTTTTTACAAGTAAAAGTTCACTAAAAATTCCTTAAGCATGTCAGTTACTGGTGCGTTTACTCTACACAAAATACCAACAATGTAAGGATTAATAGTGCTTGGATTTATCAATGTTGACTTTCAATAACATTTATTAGTTTATTAAACCTTTTCGCAGAGTCTATATCATTAGGCCTAGTATTTATGCAAATGTTGAATAAGCAGATATGACAGCATTGGATTTTTTTTTTTTTTTAATGACATTAAACAAAACGTCAATGCAAGCACGGTGAATGACCTTATTCCTTTAAGAAGAAGGATATTTGACACTTGCGAAACATATTCTGTGGTTGGCTGATGTTGAAGAAAAATATATATTATATATTTTCATGTTTATGTTCTGTTACCAGGTTACATTGTTTGTGTTTATTTAAACAAGGAATGCTCCTCAGATCGATCTCTTTAAAATAGCCTAAAATGCTGATTATAATTAATATTAAATAGATAACTTTCGAATGATTTACGCATTCCTTTTCTTCAGGAATCTAATCAGTGTAGTATTTGAAGTTGCCGACAATGAACATTAGGTTAAATTTGATTTTAATGTATTGTACAGTTCAGTGTGAAATGATAAATATGTGATTCAACATTAAAGAGTTCTTAAAAAATAAGATGAAAATTAAAAGGATTTCAAAAACTAAACTTAACTTTTTAGATCAACAGAGCATTAATCAACATAAAACGTTCAGAATTCGTACAACAGTATTGTACGAGAAACCTTCTTTTTTTCGAGATAATATACTAATACTTACAGTAAATTAAAGTTTATAGTAGTAGGAAAAGAAAATCAAAACACGAAAATATGGCATCTAGGCAGTGACACTTGTACATAAAATTAACTAAAGATAGATTACCATTTAAAAACTGTCCAACATAATAGTATTATTAGGTTAGTTTTTTAATAATTAATTTTTTTTTATTATGATATTTAGAACTGTATTAGTATAAATACATCAAGTACATGTGTAAAGAGGATCTAATTAATTTACAACATAAATGAACAAAACTAAAAGTGAAGAGAATTGCTATTAATGAATCAATGCCAGTAAGTGTCAAATGAATATATTTCTTTTTGCAGCAGCAGCTGTTATTGTTCATTAAGCAATAAATTGTTTGCTTCAACATAATCCTTATTATCACTGCAGAGCCTAGGGATACCAAGCCTATGTTCTATCTCGTCGATGGCTTACCTTGTTAAATAAAACAGAAAGAGGTCTACTTTTTAGAAATACAAAAAAATAAAAAATGAAATAAAGAATAGCTATCATTATGTGATGAATGTCTTTCAAGCTAATTATAGAAAATAAAACGAACTATACAGCACTTCATGAGTGAATACCTCAAATCTTAAAAAAATCACTTAGTCATAAGTCGATTAATAGAGCGACAATTCTGGTTTATTTCATTAATACCGAAATAATTTATAGCTATATAAAAATCGGAGCCATTATAAGTTGCATTTATATTAAGAGATATTAAGAAATTCGCCCATACTGCCATAACATGCTATCTGAAAATAATTTAAATAAAGATATGCAATGCACTTAAATAATCTATAAACTAGTTGGAGAACCTTTTTATCATTAGTGGCCGCAGTAAGGGTACGTAATGCTATTAGAAGGCGCAACATTTTTTTATATCTTACTGTTGCTATTTTTATTTATTATTAAATTCATTGTATATAGGTGTGAATGTGTTTTATATAACTCAATTTCATTTAGCTTCTCTTTATTATTTTTTTTTTTTACCTGTGTATTTTATTATTTTACATTCCACAACTCTTTTTCTTTTATCTCTATTTTAGTTATCATTTGCATGTATATATTGTGTAAATGTTTAATGTAGCACTAATATTAATGCCCTCCAATGCGACAGAATGTATTAATTTTCAAATAATAAAAAAAAAATTAAGTTTATAAAACCATATACGTATATTCAAGTCAATACTATTAATTTTAAAATTCTAGCACACTAAATAATTAAATATTAATTAATGCTCGTGCTAATATATATTAGCAAATCTTGCGCGAAAACGGTTGGAGGTCGCAGGTAGACCATGGAGGCTTCAGATTTCCAATATATGGCCATTAAAAATTATTCAAACTAATATCAAATATAAACACATTGTTTCTATAACCATTTTTTAAAATTTTTATTAACAGTCGTTGACGGTCGGTTCTGTGCCTGTATAAAGTCTAATATAAAAATTAAACAACTAACCTCGTCACAAAATATCAAATTACATTCTGAAGATTGTGAGAGTGTTTTTATAGATATTATTATCCTTTTTAAAGCCTCTTTGGAATTGACGATGACCCATTGAGCAGCCAGAGATGATATCAGCATTTTCCTCCAATGTTCTTTAAATTTACGCTTTGAATTTTCCTAGATAAGCCTTTCTAAGAGTGCAACTCACGTATGTCATTAAAAAAAATACTTTAATCTTGAGCGAAATCACTAACCACCCCCATTCTGTTTAGTTATCTGAATAGGCAACACAAAATACATGTTTTGAAATTAGTGATAAGGGAAATGAGAATATCTCGTATCTCGAATTTTATCAGTGATATATATTTCAATTTCTTTTACAGTTATTAGTATTATTTTTGGCTCTGTCCTCAAGTATAGTACACGACCAACATACTTACATTTTTTATTGTATTTAATTGAGAGAGCGGGGTAGCTCAGTGGGTAAAATACTGACTTCCTAAGCTCACGGATCCAAGTTCGAATCCGGCTGATGACAGGTAATTATTTATTCTGTTATATCAGCTGTGAATCAACCCTAGGCTCCGGAGACCCCAGTTTCTATAAAGTTAACTCTTAATTAAATAGTTAATTATGGAGGAAATCCTGGCGGTCGAACCTGATGCTAGGTCGTTAAAACAGTACTGCCTTACAAAGTATTGAACCCAAAACACTTCCTGGGTTGTTGTCGTAAGATTTTTAATTTTGATGTTAATGATTTCAATTTGTATTAATTTAGGAATCTGATAAGACATAGTTTGCAAGAGGAATGGACCCTGGACAGAAATGTGTGAAAGGATGTTTTACAAAAGTAATGGGATAGATAAATCTAATGTTTCATGGAAAAGAACGTAACCAAAAAATATATTAATTTATTTTAATGGTCCAGGTCTGTGGATAATTCCTGAACATTAGAGCTTTACAGAAAATTGTCTGTCCTCTTTGTTATAAACCAACTTGACAAGTGATGTATTAGGTCAAAGTAGTTACTCATATGCTTTGAAAGTATTATATTTTTCTTGGTTCAAGTTTTAACACAGTTTTATTATTATAAGCAATTTGCTATACAATTTATTTATTTATTGTCCGTTCTTTGCCCTAGGGCAAAACGGGTGTTGACAACTTCGCGGGGCGGGCAAATGTTGTCAATTAACTTCCTGTGGTCATGTTAAATCGGCGTCAAGAAGAAGAAAGAACAAAAGAAATGCACATCATATTAACAAGTAGTGGTGTGTTATTAAGCATTCATGCCTAATAACACACTATCGCAAACACCCGTATTGCCATAGTGGAATGGGAGGGTGGAATATATAAATAAATAAATAATGACCATAATGAATATTTGAGCTTTTGGGTTTCCTGTAAATCATCCTATACAGTCTACAATCCTTTATAAGACTCTCAATATTCCTTATTATACCCCAGATCAGATTATTTTATAAAGACCTGAATATAACACATTCTACACAAAAGAGATACCTACTCTACCATTATAAGCTCAATACTCAAACCCATTAGTTGCTAGCCTTGCTCGCCAATCGGATTCCGATAACCGAATAGGGGTCTGAATATAAGACCCTCTCAGGACCTTCGGTTGTAGGCACTATCATTGGATTGCATCCAATGGATAGTTTCTCTACAAGTCACATCGCTGTTGCAGTTGTAAAT